TGGGAGGTCATTTTTATCGAGCAGCTAGGTCTTTCCGGTGGGATGTTATATCCCTCTCAGTCCGGGTCGGGCCTAAAAGACTGGCTCAGAGGCCTGCCTCCCAAATGTTCTAAATTGTGTCGATGAGGGTGTAAATCTACACTTACAACATTTTTAAAAACAAAACAAAATTTAGATAATTTCGGAGGTAGGTACATGTATGATGCTTTGACCCTGCTTCTCAGGACAAACTTGGGCTAAGAGTGAGAGGGGTACACAGTCCTAGTCCTAGCAGACAGACGGGGACCCTGGATTTTAAAAAGCCTCCCCACATGGGGACCAAACACATTTCTTTTACTTTTAGTTTAGTTTTAATAGAGGTTTTACGGCGCTCTCAACCACTTAAGGTCATATGAGTGCCAAGGGTGGATGTCAACAAGGAAGTCCTTACAGGGAATCAGACTTACTCTGCTCACCTCTCTAGCTTAAACAGCACAAAGTCTGCTTCAGCTATCAAGGCACCACGGAAATAGCGGGTCACAAGAGTGACAAATATACAAAAGAAGTAGAGGAAATATGACGATAGTAAGGACTAGGAAAGAAAACGCAGCAGTTCCCTATTGCAGTTCAGGCACAGTTGTGAGCATGACATTGATGAATCAGCCCATTTACAATTACAATTCTATACTGTGCAGAAGAACTCGAGATGTTAATATCCCCCCTTTGGGAATGGCCTAAAGACCATTTGTGAAGCGTGCTGACAAAATGACTTACTTCTCGGATTCGAACCCTACGGAAATAGATACACCACGCTTATAGGTGAAGTTTTTACAATTTACAAGTATAAAGTAACAAAAGATATGTTAATGTTAACAAATATGGCATCAATAAAAAATCTACAAATTTGACCCAGAGTCGATTTTGGCGAATATCTCCATTAATAATATTGTGGATTGCAAAAAGTAACTCATTTTGTCAGCATGCCTCACATTTCTTTTGCGAGCGATAACGAAGTGCCCAATCGCTACTCCAAAAAAAAAAACCCGCCGGTGACAATGGGTTAAAAGGAAAAGTGTAGTAGAAATACTGAGTTGAGCACCATAGTCCCACTGGGTTTTTTTCAGCATCAATGGAATTCAGCATAATCCCAATTGGGCTTTTCCCAGCGTCAGCTGGGTTGAGCGTAATCTCATTGTGTGTTATAGTTGGGTTGTGGTGGGGGTTTTTTTTTTGGGGGGGG